ATTTATTTAAAAATAAATTATGTCATAACTTTTAATTTGTCCCACAAAAATTATTTTTTGTAGAATTTTTAATTCATTTTTGAATTCAGAACCATTTTTAAGTATAAAATTTTTAAAAAAAAACAGTAACGGTCAAAATGACCGCTTTGGGCGTTCTAGATCATGAAAATTTTCGAGCGTTCTAGTGTTAAATAGAGGAAAATTTTCAGTTAATCAAGAGTATTATCAATATATACTCGGCTAATGGTTCTCTATAGTTCACTATTTCAAAGAAATATTTAATTAGAAAAGTACTGATGAAAATAATTAAAAAGAGGACTTATTTTTTTATCAAGAAAAGTCTAGCAACACTTTAATAAAAAAACAAAATTGACAGTCATTAATGAAGAAAAATCATCATCAAAACTCTATTTCATGTTTGTTTAGGTCTTACTAGATTCACTGAAATGTCTAGATTCATAAAAAACGACAACATGGATTAAAATCCCAGATAAAATGCAGCTCTCTCTCCCAAGTTAAACAAGACATACCGTTTGACAATGTTCTTTTTTTAATCAAGAAGAAATAATTTCTAGAGAGAATGTTCTATTCTATCCAAGTTCTTTTTTTTTTAATATTTTTATTGATGTTTTATTTGAGTGTACTTTTTTTCTAGTGTTCTCCGTATCATATTATGTCAATAGCTATTATGATTAATGAAAAATTTCGTGAACGTGTTCAACCGTGGGAAGTAAGTATAATTGTTACTGATTTTAAAATTTTTTTTTAAATAAGATTACTTTTTTTTTATTTATTTTATCTAATATTATTTCTTCTTTTATAGGCAGTTAAATCTCGACCCGAACAATTTGAACGATTTTTTAATCGAGTAATGAATTTATGTTTGGAAGGTGAAGATGTGACAATCAAAGAGCAAACAATATTAATTATGTTTCTTGATCATTGTTTTAATAGTTTGGTATGTATTAAGAATAGAAAAATGGAGAAATAAAACAAATAAGAACATTTTTTTAATTTTCTAGGAACTTGATATAATTCGTTCACAAGTGCAAAAAATTGTTGGTTTAACAATTTGGACAAATTTAAATGAGGTAGAAATGAATTTATTTATTTTATTTTTTTATTTTTAAAAAATATTTTTATTTTATGTTTAGTCACGACGTGAACTTGAATTTAAAAAAAGCACCAAAATTTAGAAAACTCTGGAAATTAATTTGTAAAAAAGATGAAAAATTGAGTGATAATGAATTGAAACAAACATTATTCGAACGTGCATTTCTTCGAAAATTAATGGAAAAATTTCTCACATTAATTGAAAATGTACAAGAAGAGAAAGGTAAAAAATTATATTTTATTTGCTGAGTTTCTCATCTCGTTTTCTTTTCTTTTTTTGTTATTCTAAACTTATTTTTGTAAATACGTCAATCAACTATAATTTTTTTATCTCTAATTTATTTAGATATCGATGAAAAGTTTCCACACGAGACAGTCGTCTACTGTGAACGTTTTATTGAATTTTTAAATGACATTATTGTTCAATTACCCACTCGACGATTTTTCAATATTGTTCTCGATGATGTAAACTTTGTTGTACGCTGTTTTCTATCTACATTTGTTAAATGTTTACAAAAAAATGATATTGATAAACAGAAAACAATGGATTTTAATGAAAAAGAATCGACTAAAAAATCATCATCAAATTTATTTCTTAAATTATTGAGTAATTTAAAATTTTATTCAACATTTGAAATTGATGATCATACAGGTGAAAGTTTAACACAAAATGAAATGATTGAAAAACATTATGCTAATGTATTAAATTTACAAAAAGCTATTTTTAAACATTTTCGCGATGATTTACCAACATTTTCATTACAAAATATAAAATCAATTGATAAACGAAACATTCTTAAAGATGAATTTGAAAAATTATCAATTGAAAAATTATATTCAATTGCTGAATATTTATCAATTGTATCACCATCATCTAATAATGATGAAAATAGCAAACAATCAAAAATGAGTTTAGAGATATTATTAGAAATCCTTATATCTAAACATGAAAGAATACAAAGTCATTTAGAAGTAAGTAGTAAATAAAATATTATTAAAATATTATTTTAATATAATTTTATTTTAGTTAATAAATGAAATGCCATTGTATCCAACAGAAAAAATGATTTGGGATGAAGATATTGTACCCACAGAATTTTATAGTGGTGAAACATGTTTAGCATTACCAAAATTAAATTTACAATTTTTAACATTACACGATTATTTATTACGTAATTTTCATTTATTTCGTTTGGAATCAACATATGAAATTCGTCAAGATATTGAAGATGCTGTTAGTCGTATGAAACCATGGCAAAATGAAAGTATATCGGAAAAAAATGATCAACAATGTTTATTTGGTGGATGGTCTCGTATGGCACAATCGATAACAAATTTTACTATTGTTGAAGTTAATAAATCAAAAATTGGACAAAATCATCCCAGTCGTGTTCGAGCTGATGTTACATTGGTATTAAATACTCGACATGATATTAGACAAGAATGGGAACAATTACGAAAACATGATATATGTTTTTTGATTACATGTAAATCAACGACTAAAGTTGGAACACAATATGATTATCGAAAACCATTTATACCACAAGTTGGATTAACCTATGTTCGAGGATGTGAAGTAGAAGGAATGTTGAATGCTGAAGGAAAAGTTGTTGAAGAAGGTAAAATTGATTATTTTTTATTTTTCATTTATATAATATAACAATATTTTTTACTTTTAGGTACTGATGCAAAACCAGTATTACCGGGTAGTACAAGAACATGGCGTGTATGGCTTGATCCAAATCAATATCAATTAGATATAGAACAAACATTAAATGGTGAAGAAGATGTTTATGATACATTTAATATACTATTACGACGTAAACCAAAAGAAAACAATTTTAAAGCGGTATTAGAAACGATAAGAGATTTAATGAATACAAATTTTGTTGTACCAGAATGGTTACAAGATTTAATACTTGGTTATGGTGATCCAGCATCAGCACATTATTCAAAGTAAAATAATACATTCATTCGTTATTGTTTTTTTCGATTAAACTATTATTCTATTTCTATTTCTGTCATTTTTAGTATGAAAGTAAAAATACCAACAATGGATTGGAATGATACGTTTATTGATGTTCAACATTTACGTGCAAGTTTTCCAGATTATCAAATTAATATGTCAGATGATGATAAAATAAAACATAGTCCACCATTCAAGTAAGAGAAATAATTATAATTAGTGGTTATTGAATGTAAGATATACTTTTTTCTTTCCTAGATTAACATTTTGTGATTTACGTCAAAAACGTGAACATGCTGGTGAAAAAGTTATTATTGTTGAACCACATCAAATTGTTAATCGTGGCCCATATCCCTATAATAAACCTAAAACAAATCAAATTCGTTTTACTCCCACACAAATTGAAGCAATTAAGTCGGGTATGCAACATGGTTTGACTCTGGTTGTTGGTCCACCCGGTACCGGTAAAACCGATGTTGCCGTTCAAATTATTTCAAATATTTATCATAATTTTCCTGATCAACGTACATTAATCGTTACACATTCAAATCAAGCATTAAATCAACTGTTTGAAAAAATCATGGCACTAGATGTAGATGAAAGACATTTATTACGTTTGGGACATGGTGAAGAAGCATTAGAAACAGAAAAAGATTTTAGTCGTTATGGACGTGTAAATTATATACTAAAAACACGATTAGAATTATTGAGTGAAGTTGAAAGATTACAAAAAAGTTTAAATGTTCAAGGAGATGTTGCATATACATGTGAAACTGCTGGATATTTTTATTTATATAATATACTATCACGATGGGAAGAATTTTTAAGCAAAATTCAAAATGGAACTACTCAAGCAATTATCGATTTTTTCCCATTTAAAGTCTATTTTAGTGATTTACAAACGGATTTATTTAATGATCAATTATCATTCGATTATAATTTAGATATTGCTCAAGGATGTTTTCGACATATAAAAAAAATATTTACACAATTAGAAGAATTTCGTTCTTTTGAATTAATGCGTAATGGTACAGATCGAGCAAAATATTTACTTGTTAAAGAAGCAAAAATTATTGCTATGACTTGTACACATGCTGCTCTCAAACGACATGATCTTGTTCAATGTGGATTTAAAGTAAATATTATTGAAAAAAAAGTATAAGAATTAAAATAATATCTATTTGTTATTTTCTAGTATGATAATATACTTATGGAAGAATCCGCACAAATACTTGAAATTGAGACATTTATACCATTGTTATTACAAAATCCCGATCAAGAACGAAATCGTTTAAAACGTTGGATAATGATTGGTGATCACCATCAACTACCACCCGTTATTAAAAATATGGCATTTCAAAAGTATAGTAATATGGAACAAGCATTATTTACACGATTTGTACGTTTGGGTGTACCAACAATCGATTTGGATGCACAAGGACGTGCTCGACCATCAATATGTTCATTATATAATTGGCGTTATAAAAATTTGGGTAATCTTGATCATGTTTTACAACAAAATGAATATCGAACAACAAATGCCGGTTTTGTGTATGATTATCAATTAATTAATGTTGAAAATTTTAATGATATCGGTGAATCGGAACCAATCCCCTATTTCTATCAAGTAAGTAGTTTAAAAAAATTCATCATACAAATGATATAGTTATTTAAATTTTTTTTAGAATTTAGCTGAAGCAGAATATGTTGTAGCTGTTTATATGTATATGAGACTAATTGGCTATCCAGCAGAGAAAATATCTATACTAACGACATACAATGGACAAAAACATCTTATACGCGATGTGTTGAACAAACGATGTACTAAAAATCCATTACTTGGACATCCATTAAAGGTAAGTGGAAGGATTTTTAAACTCAACAGTGTCCATAAAAATGTATATTTATTATTAAGGTGACCACAGTTGATAAATATCAAGGGCAACAGAATGATTTTATATTACTCTCATTGGTGCGTACAAAAGCTATTGGTCATCTTCGGTAAATTCGTGAGTTCATTATATTTAATACTAATAGTTCTAATTTTAAATTCTACTATAGAGATGTTCGACGTTTGGTTGTTGCCATGTCACGTGCTCGTCTTGGATTATATGTATTTGCACGTGTTAATTTATTTGAAAATTGTTTTGAATTAACACCTGCCTTTCATAAACTAGCGAAACGACCAACAAAATTGTATTTATTACCAAATGAAACTTATCCAAGTGTTCGAGAGGTAATACTAGTAATATAGAAACAAATATAATTTGTAATTAATTTGAGACTTTTATGTTGTAGGAAGCAAAAGATCAACTTATCTTACATCAAGCACAACTTGTTGAAAATATGCCACAGATGGCCGATTTTGTGTATAATTTATACAATCAAAAATTAGTAGCATTACAACAAAAAAAGAGAGTATGTTTTTTTCAATAACACATTAGAGAATTAATAATCTATGACTCTTTTCTTTTTCTAAGCGAGAAGATGTATTACGGTTTAATTCTGACACCAATTTACCGTATGATCCCACTCAACCATTGATGCAAGAAACTGGTGATTCCTTAACATCAAAATTAGATCCATTATCAACGGAATACATTCCATCTCAAGTATCTGGTACAAAATTTGAACATGATCCAAATCAAGAGAGTAGTACAATTGAAAATCGAGATGATGAAGATGATGACGAATATGATCCATCAAAACCATTTTTATCTACGAAAAAGACATCATCAACAATATCAATCGAAAAACCAGATGAAATGGAAGAAGGAGAAATTAGTATAATAGATGACACCGATAGTATGTACTCTGTATATCGTTTACTTTTCAGTGCATCTTACAAGACTTTTATTTCTTTTGCAGATAATAAAGAAGTACCGATGGCGACGGAAGAAGATATAAATCAAGTAAAATTATAATTCAGTGAATCGATTACTTGATTAATTGAATTGTTTTTTGTTTTTGTTTTAGTCTGCCATATTCAAAAGTGTTATGAGTGCAAATGATGCAGTCATGGATACGGATACAATCCCGTTCATGGCGACAACAACTGAAAACCAAGAGAAGAATGATCAAATAGATACTTAACATAAAGAATATTATTTTCATTGATGTGCATTCTATCTTTACCATGTTGTTTGTACTTTCTTTCTGTGTAATTTTTTTTTCTCTTGAGTATTGAACAAGTTTTAATTGTTCGTTTTGTATTAAAAGAATTATTGAGAGTTATTTGTATCACATCGGCTAACACGATCCAATACGTGTTTTGAGAAGTAAAACGGTGTAGTTGAATAACTGATTAGTGGACTTATGCTCCAGAGATGGGCGAGTCAGAGTCACGATTCGGATTCGAGTCATATTTTGCTATGACTCGGACTTGAGGCGAAAGACTCAATACTTTCGAGTCAGTCATGTGCAACTTTGGATTATTATGATGGTATTTATTATATTTGTTATATACCAGAACAGAGGGACAGATTTAAGAATATTCTAAGTAGAACATCGAGTCACATGAAAAGATTGAAGGTTTCGAAAAGGACAAAACAAACAGGAGATAGAAAATAGCGCTGTAAGCTTTTTCTTGAAAAAATGAATCAGAAGGAAGTTTACTTCTGGAAAATAACTCGAGGTGACTCGAGTCAATTTTTGACGCGACTCGGATTGGACTCAGACTCGAAAAAGCGGTGACTCGTCCATCTCTGTTATGCTCACATTTGCAGGAAAAGAGTACAGTGGACATTTTTCCTATTTCAGACGGACATCGGAATTTATCTCACCCTAAAGCATTTTTTTAGTCAAATATGCCACGAGAAAAAATTCTCTTCATAAAACCATTTTTGATTCTCTTTGAGAAAAATTGCTTTAGAGGAACTATCATCCAAATTTTAAAATCCGAAGTTTTGTATTCATATAGAGTTCAATGCAACTCAACGAGTTGATTGCGTATTGCAATCAATTGTATGAAAAAAATAATACAAAGGTGGAAAAATTACGCGAGAAATCAAGATTTCTTAAAAAAATCACATATCCCAGTCAAAATAAGTTTTCGTTATTTCGCGCTCACGCCTGCGATGTATTACATACAGATAAATATTCTGACTAAGTTTGGAAGGAAGATAACGAGGATGTTCACACTTTTTTTCAGTTTTAAAGCCGATATTCGTGGTCACTGAAAAACTGCATCTGATGCTGTGTGAGAAGAAAATTAATTTCGTGTTGAAGGTATCATTAGCTCGACAAGGCGATAATAAATCTCTTCTAGTTGAAACAAGAATATTTAGAGTGTTGATCGAATAATCGTTCATGCCGAAAAATAGCCCTAATATTATGGTTTAAATTACTGTAATCAAATCTGGAATACGTTCACTTTCGATTTTTATCAAATGCCTGCAGCAATGTCCACTATGAATGGTGTGATTGGATAAAATGCTTGTTGTGTCCAACTCTAAATTTACCTTCGCAGCTTGAAAAAAGTGTTTAAGTTGATTGAAATGTTTTTACGTTGCGTTGAATGTTAAAATGGTGACATCTTCAATGGTTTTTTAATATGGGATATGTGTATATAATCAAAGATTTACGTTAGGGTAGAACGGTTCCTCTAAAATCGATGACAACTGTTGTCGAACCCTCTTTTGGACGAGGTTTTAAAACCATTATAAAATTGTCGGATAATATCGGCTCATGATCAATACCACTGATAATATTGTAATTGGCAATTCGACTCGTAAACATTACACCAACGGGAAGGTAAAGTTTAGATATACTTTCTGTATCGGTAAAAGTAATAATAAAACTATGTGTATTAACACTCGTGCGAATAAATTTTGTTGATAATATCGGATCGCATTTTGTTTTATCAAATCTTGCGTCAAAAGCTGGATCACCATATAAAACAGTCGTATCTCGATCATAGCATAATCCATATATTTTCTCTCGTGTTTCGGCATCTATATTATCTGAGAGTTTGAAACAGTTGTTGATTTGTTCTCCAACTGATTCGTAGGATGGATCATTCTTAGTAACATCAAATTTAAATTTAAGTAGATGTGAATTAATAGATTTTAAGTCATACGTCATACGAACTTGATTGAGAAAATATGCCTGTGAAAGTGCCAGTTGACCAGGAATACTTTTCCATAAATCCAATGTTCCCCATCCAGCACGACCAAACCATGTATTGACAGTATATCCACACAATTGTTTCACGCCTAATTTACCCATAAATAGAGTGACCATGCAATTTTCACCAACACAATGACCAATGAGACAGTTTGCTATAGGTAAAAATACTTTTGGATTTGGTGATGTTTCTATTGGCGAAGCAACAGCATTGCCTTCCGTATCTAACAGTAAAAGAGATTGATCGGTAGCATAAAGCATACCAGTCGTCCATGGCATTTCAAGCGTGTGTTCGGTACCATGACCGCCCGTTACAAGTAAATCCGGTCGAATAGCATCAAGTTTTTCTGAAAACATTAACGCTGGTGGCTTTGAATATTCGCTACCTTCTTCTTTTCCATTTTCACAACAGTTTTTCCCGTACCAACAACTATATTTTGAATCTGAGAATGTAAAACACATATCAAACAAATCTTGATCAACATTAGTAAAATTTAATGCAGTACGAATAATAAACGGTTGTTCAACATCGTCTTTAATCGAATTCAGCGCAGATTTCGCATCACTGCCTGTAATGATAGCCCACATGGTATCAATGTACGGTTCATCATCAAGCGTACGAGTTAGACGATGAACACTGGCAACAAACTCTCGACCACATTCTGATGGTTTACACACAAATGCTGTATAACGCGGCATCGAAATTTGAAGTGCTTCTTTAACTGACGTGACATCATTGCGATAAAGATAGACGGTTGCATTCGGATATTTTTCGTGTAATACATCTACAACTTGTTTCCAATCATCATCAGAATTGGTTTCTGTTGATACCACAATGGCATAAGATTGCAAATAAGCGGTATTCGGAGAATCAAGGGTCTGTTGAGACCAAGAGTTATGGTGATGGTTATGTTTGAATACAGTTTTTATATGATCCATATTGACCGTATACTCGCTTCTAAGTCCAAGTAAAAATAAAATGTGTCGTTATAACGAGAAAAAATTGAAGAGGGGTTATTTTTGTTTTATAAAGATGTTTTTGTCATAAAAAAGCTATGATTGATTTTAAATTAGAAATTTGTGTTATTCATTTCATCTTTAATGGTAAAATGCCACATTACAAAAATGAAAAAAGAACAATATTATTCATTGACCTAGTCATACACACACACTCACCATCTGCTGCACGTATGATAAATTCTTTTCAAAGAATTCGGAATTTATTAATATTAATAAATTCCGGCATATATTACAGTATATGACGAAAGATTTTTAGTTTGCCCGAAATCTTTTCGACTCTAATTGCATTCTGCAACATTACAGTTCAAACTTGGTTGAATTAATACTATCTCATAGATGAAATGTTGAAAACTACTGAGTGTGTTCACTTATATAAACCGATCGATAAAAAGAAAAAACAAACATTTCTAAAGCATTCAGCGAATAAAAAATTTAAAACAGTTTCATTGACAACAGATTACTGCTAGAGATAGATTTTTTATCACTCTTTACGCAAGTTAGATTCTGAATGGTACAGAGAGTCTATACTAGTTGTTTTTTTACCTATTTCTCTCTATCAATTCTCTACTTTTTTCGCGTTTAATGGACGTGTAAATAAAACGAGTCTGTTTCCAAAATAATGTTAACTAGGAAATATTGAAACTTCAAACTACATTTTTCATCTCCTAACGTCAACGATTATTCGATCAATACTCTAAATATTCTTATTCCAACTAGTAGAGATTTATTATCGCCTTGTCGAGCTAATGATACCTTCAACACGAAATTAATTTTCTTCTCACACAGCATCAGATGCAGTTTTTCACAATGATCACGAATATCGGCTTTAAAACTGAAAAAAAGTAACGAACTCAATGTTAAAATATAGACTTATTCTCCGACTTCCTTAGTTTTATTTCAAAAAACCTTAAAATCAACATATTCAATAGAAAATCTAATTTTCTTGATAAAATGCACCATTTCTGATAAAAAAACTGTCAACACACATTTTATAGATGAAACAGAATGCCAATTTTTGGATTTTTTACGAAAAGAGTTTAGGACTCTTTTTGAAAGCGTTTTATGAACTACTTAACTTTTCATCCCTGGTGATCATGCGTCGCATCAGAAATAAGCATGCACCGGTTACAACCGATAAATTTCATTTTATTTCTGAAATGGATTGCATAAAAAGTATACATATTAAAATTTTTCTAGAAACTGGATTCTGTAGAGCAAATTTTTCTACAAGATGAGCTACGACGGAAGCCCTCATGTTTTCTATTTCTGCCATAATCGCTTTCCCACGAAGACCACTAAATCGATTATAACCGATCGTGGAATTTTAAGAAATCTTTTTTTTATCAGTGCTAGATTAAGACGAAGAACACTCCTGTAGCTCAGCTTGTAGGAAAATGTTTGCTCTATAACTGTTAAAAAATTTAGAGAATCAATTTTTGTTGAGAAAAAAATTTGATATGATTTTAATACAAGAACGGTTAAGATACCCACCTATTCAGATCCTTTCTGTCTGGACTCGTTTTTCTCAATTATGTGTGGAGGATTGCTGTCGATTCCTGGCCACCTGCTCTCACTTTGGCCGCTGGCGGTGTTATTGATGCCGATCTTTTGTTACCAAGGGCCTTTTGAGGGTGAGGATTACACCTATCATCCACATAGTGGGTCAGGAGGCCCTCAAAAGGCCCTTGGGAACAAAAGATCGGCATCAATAACACCGCCAGCGGTCAAAGTGGATTAACATTATTCCTCAGAAAAAGGAGATGCATGTGCAGGAGTCGGACAGACAACTGCGCCTCCGCAAAAAACCAGCCACCACCCAATCATCAATAACCATTACCCAATCGTCGACACAAAAATTAAACAGCTCGACAAAACGTCGCTTGTGACGAAAAAGGAAGCAGGCGGCCAGGAATCGAACAACATCAACCAGAGCCAAGTCGCCCTCACTCGCATCAACAATATCGAAAAGAGAGTGGAGGTGATGGAAATGCCGACAAACTAATAGTTATAAAAATCATCGCCGATCCAAATCTTCAGCAAGTACATGACACAGATGAGGTGGATTCCAATGATGAGGTATTCTTGCACCAACAACTTTAGCAACTTGTAGTGAAAATGAAAAATCTAATTCAGTTGTTTCTCCTCTTCTTTTTCTACCACTTATGTTTCTTCGTTTTATTTCGTTTCCTTTTTTGCTTGTTTGTTCTATATTTTTGTTTTCATTCTTCAGATATTTACTACTGACAAGCTTTATTTTTAAATAATGCGAAATGCGTCCAACCTTAACTTATCTGCACTTGAACAAAGCACTTATACAAACAAGCATTTGAACCAGCATTTTTGAATAAAACATGTTGAGATTAAGGTATTTTTTTGAATAAAAACCATTTGTCTTTCATCTTTCTTCCCTTCACATATAATTGATAAAAACAAGTCGAAACAGAAAAGATCCGAACAGATGCGTTCTTATATTATTTTAATCGGTTATAATCGGCGCATACCTAATCAGAAAACGGATTAGTTTTTCTAATGTAAGCTGACACCATACACTTGTGGTTGCGAATCAAAAAAGTTGTTTTCATCAATCCAAAACAAAGATATACCGTAAAACAAGTTTTACTATGCGGTACTAACTTTACGTTGTAATTGTTCACGATTTGTTGTATGCATTTCTGATTGCGATCAATGTGCCCTTTCTAAAGAGCAGTACATAAAAAACGTAGGTAACGCGCAGACATTTTTTAAAGTTCGAACGAATGTATCTCGAGAACGGTAAGAGAGAGACTTCAAATTTTTAACAAATATGTAGATAAACAAATTCTATAATGCTTAAATATTACAGCCTCAACCATCTACTTGTTTGGTTTTTTTAAGTAAAATACTGGTCGGTAACACACAGACAAAAAGATCCTCTTCTCTCGATAGATGTGAAAGAAGTGATAAATCCTGCGACCTACTCCATGTTCATGAATTGCACGAGAGAAGTTTTTTCTAGTTGAAAATCAGGGTTGTCTTTTGTTGAAAAGAAAACATTGATACCTTGAAAGTCGATTGACTTATTGACAAAACATCAGGTAACGCACAGACACGAATTTTAAAAAAAATTCCTTAATCTAAAATAGAATTTCGTATTTGTCCAATTTTGTATTGTGTCCGATAGCCTATGTACCAATTGTTTGTGAGATTCTTAGAACTCAGTTTTGGCCGACAGGTGAGTTCTCGTAGATTGCCTCTAGCATTCGAACCATAACAGATGGAGGTGTGGGATGTGTGCCAGATTGTAGAGCAACATCTGCTCTATACCTGCATGTGTTCAGAGTAATATCTCGTTATGTGAATTTTTGGAATGACAGGCTCGGACGTTTTGCTTCGAAAGGTACACCATGGTAGAGCTGTCGAATAAGACTCATTTTAGCATAGGATTACGCCCCCGTGTGTTCTCTTTCATAATCCCAAAACCGCAGTCCTGTAGCTCATTCGGTTCTTGAGTTATTCAAAAAATATCCGACTGCATTATATTTTGAAATGGATAGTATTAAGTCTTATTCTGTCAAAACAGCATTGTGAAGACCGTTTTTCTTCCAGTTTTCTGGGTAACGCTTCTGTTTTTGAGCCGCAGTGGGCTTCATCTGAAGCAAATGTTATACAAATTGCTGAATATGAGATAAATTTATTTTATGCTGAAATAATCTAGAACTAAAAAACGCATAATTCCTGACGATGTTGCCTTGAAATTCCCTCAAAAACTTTGTGTTTTTATCTTCCGCGTTTTATTCCAAATTAAGTAGTCAGCACCGAAAACTATGAAAATGTGTCTTGGACTTCAAGTTATACCTGAAACAAACCACTTTCAGTAGGTCTAAGTACGTGTTAATATGAGGCGCTCGAAAGGTCGTGTCTGTGCGTTACCAAGTTTCTCGGCACTAAAGCACTTGGACGAAAAACCAATAAGTGCATTAGATAATCCGTTAAAAGTAAGCGGAAGATCAATGAGAGTTTAAAAATAAATCGCTTTAGTTTAGTCAAAAAATAAACTAAACTCGATTTTCGGTAACGCACAGACAT